AAATTTGCACAACGTGGCAACTAAGACTTCCTTAACAGTTCATCAGTTGATTAGTTGTACTATTTATCAATTAATCTTTAGACTATAAAATGTCCAAACAAAGGTCCAAAACTTGAACATATTCAATTTGTAGTGATACAAAACAGAGAAAATTGACAAATCCTCACATTTTGAAGCTGGAAACAAGGAAATACAGCGAATGTTTACACTAACTGTGAATATATCCTAAAGTGCACCGTGGCTTACAGTTGAATGCAAAAGTTTGGGCAAATTACATATTTTGTTAACTTTTAAAATTCAGGCCAGCAAACAGAAATTAAAAATGAACCTTTGGTTCTATTCTTACAGTTCGTGAAATAAAAAAGTGACTAAGATTTTACAACACAACAAATGTTGACTTCAGGCGAGGCTAGTCTGGCTCATGAGCCGGTTAGTAGCTCCCTTAGCTTTCCAACCCCTAATTACATAGTTAGCTAGCTAGCTAGCAGTCAGCCAGCTCACCATGTTAACCTGTGTACATGAGATCCAAAAAACTAATAATCCAGGACCAACAATTTGCCCAAGCTAGCATTGCTGTGATATGCTCCAAGGCAGTGTTAACAGTAAACCAACTAGCCATAGCAACATTTACCGAACACATTCCTAATATCGGTAGCAGCATGTTAGCTAACATCATCACGCCCTCGATAGCCAGTCACTAATGAAAACATACATGTAACATAACACCCATGGAGATACTTACACACGGACGACGACACACTCCGGTGACAGTGTAGAATACTGGACTGTAGTTGGGAAGCACAAGGGAAACGTGGGAACTTGGGTCTTGAGGAGTCGGTAGCTTTTATTTACTGACAGCCTGAAGTTCACATACATCACACTGTACGTTCACAGTTATGTAGTTAAGTACTGACTAGCTAGCTAACTCTGCTCCGGTCACCAGCGTCACCGCGCTCTCTCTCTCTTTCTCTCTCGCCCGCTATGGACACTGAAATATTCCTGAAAGGGGCTGAGCTACGTGTATAACAATATTCAGTCTAAAACTTCTCTAACTTATAGCGGATCTTGCCCAGAGATGAAAGATTAGTGTAATTCCCTGGTTTACTTGCTACTACTGCCTCATAAGGCTTAGCGTGCAAACTTTGTTTCCACACGTCTGCGCATGCGTATTATGTTGCAATATTATAACTGATCTCAGAACGGTAGAAGCTGAGTTTAGGACAGCTTGACATGCACACTTTGATTATCGCTAGTCACCCATCAAAGATCCCAGGACTGTCCTCAATGCTCATGCACAAACCTTCAAGAAAGACCCCTGCCCTCTCTGCTTGACAAGCCCCAGCCTTTGTCAATGGGATAGGCCCACCCCCACGAAAACGACAGAAGCATTGTACAACAGCTGATAGTCAAGCGAGTTTCCAGAGACGATACCCCGCTGCCACCACAAGGGGGCAGTAAATTACATGATGAATGCACGCAGGGACCTGGAGGGACTTATATTCACTAACATGCACATGCACTAACATGCACGCAGTGCCAGACCAAAACAAAGAACAGAGACACTCAGATTACAACATATGCAGGGGGGGCTGTGACTTAGTTCTGTGCTCAGGATGCCATTACTCCACTACACCACTGCAAACCACTACTTGTTACATAGAGTTAGGGTTTGCTGCTGTATTATTGTTTTAAATCAAGTATGCCCTCATTAAAAAATCTACAGTATAAGCTGTATATAAAAGCCAATTCAATGCATATGTACACTGGAGGTTTGAAGGTTCCACATCACATTTGCAGATTGGACCACGACTGGTTTCCAAATAAGTTGTGATGTCTCATAATCACAGTCATACATATGCAAATATGCTAAACTCAGATTTAAGGTAAGTACAGAGAAACTCATTAATGTAAAAGCAGCTCTCTGGTGCAAACACATAAATCTGGGACCCCACTGAACACAAGATTGTACATCTCAGGTGATTTATCCTGATATGGTAAATTTGACTAGTTTGTGGCTGTGGAGTAGGACTGTGTTATGTGATATTATTGTGAAATTAGAATACTATTGGTCTCCCAGAGATGGGATACAGAAAACTGAGACTAAATTTGTGGTATTTACTTCACTGATGATGAATGGGAGGCTGACTTTGTGTGTGTGTGGACTCATTAACTATTTATATACACAAGAGAGCTGTGGATGAATGACCCTTCAATACCCCGAGAGGAAATTTCTGTTGCACGAAGTACATACACAATATAAAGCAAATATTAGGACAGCACAGGGATACAAAAACAACACACACACTGACAGAACCCAGACACAGTAAAAGAAAAAAAAATACTATACCCACTGAGTTGTAGGTTAAATGGTAACAAAGACAAAATGCAACCTAAGAAAATGATCTTTGATAATTGAATCACATTTTCCATGTTTTTAGATGTATACTAAGTTTCAAAATCAATGCCAAGTTAAAAACACATTTATCTACCCAACAATAAAGGTCTAGATAATTTGATTAGATAAAATGCTGTAAACTGATGTGCCTCTCTTAATACTTTTATACCTTATTTTATAAACTGTCATGATAATAATATTAATAAATTGACAGGTAACAGCTGATATTATACATAATCCAGGGACACAGTGAAATTGGACATTTCATTAAAAAAAAGTCTGGTTTTTATCTAGAGATTCAACTGAATCAGCTGTGTACAAGAATATCCGTCTGTCTGTTCTCTGAGAAAAAACAGTACAGGTTGGCAGCATGATAAAACATTTCCCTTTAAGTGCTTACTCAACTGTTAAGATTGACTGTAGTATGAATTATTACATTTAAACCACATGGTGGCAGTCTAGACCCAAATGACTAATTCACTGAATTGATGTATTCATTATTTTGGGAACATGCTTGTTGGAACTAATTATGTGATTATGTTAAGATGATGCCACAAAATATCAAATTTCAATTAATTGTCCATATACTAAAATTGATAATGTAACATTTTACTCTATCAAACATTATTACAATTTCAGTTTTCTGTTTTAAAAAAAAAGTTAACTTTCCCACCCTGCCTCAAAGTTGTATTTTTACAAAATGATGATTGATGAATCGAAAAACAAGTTTGGACTTGATCACCTGCTTCATATTTACAGATTGGTGTACTCCAACATCCAGATCTTCAGACAGAGCCAGGCATTCTCCAAATGTTTCTGAAGACAAAAATAAATGAGTATAAGCCATCTACTGTAAAATATGAAACTGTGTTTGACACAAAAGCTGTTGAACTACTCACTGAGTTATCTTCTGTTACAAATACAGCTGAAAACCTACAGTAAATATCCAAAAATGCCCATAATGTAACTTCAATAAACTGCACATAACACACACATTGCAAGTGTTTTTCTACAAAATAACTACATGGGGGAAAACACACTGGTTGGTCCAATTCCTACTTCTACAAATAAACTGCTCCGTCGCTGAGAAGTAAACAAACAACTGCATATTATTGTAATAAATAGAATAATAAAAAGTGAATCTGTAGCTGTTAATGGGGATGTTGTGGCTCCTTTTGTGGTTAATGCTGATAAAGCTTTTGATTAACTGGGTTTTAATGTAGAAATTGTTCCCTAGAGTTGCTTTAATGATATAAATATTCAAAGCAGCTATGTGGCCTGAGAGTGAATTTTAAATATTCCGACAGACAGTTTAAGATGGCAATTAAAACTCCAGTTGTGAGGAAAGATTGTAGGGTTTTCTAATCAGGCCTGTGATCCACTCAGCTGCTCCTTTGATTAAGAGGCCACAGTCACAGTGCTGTCACTGTGGTTCTCCCTAATGTCTTCATGTTTGATGTATAATTAACAGTGTTGTTGAAACAGCTCTGACACGTCCAAATCCTTAATCTGTTTTATTATCACATAACTTTTATAAGAAGATACTCAGAATACACAGAAATATGGGCTGTTCACAAAAATGTTTTATGACAATTTTAAGAAATGAAAAAACAAATGATGACAGTAGGCTATAATGATGATTTAAGAAGAAAAAAAAGAGTTATAGCATTATTGTTGAATTGAATTCCTATTGTAAAGACCTGACCTCCAAACGTGTAGGATGTAGTCATCACCAGCTGAGGGCGCTACACGACCACAGTTTCATTCTAAGACGTGTTGAGTTTTCGCCTGAGCATGAACCTGAAAACAATGCTGGCAACTGTTTAGGCAGGAATACAAATCTGGCAGCACTCAGCGAAAACAAAAGTGACTAATCATCTAACTTCCCCACACTGTAGGAGATCAATAGGTGTTAAAGATCTCAATCCGCAGACCAGTTCACTTCACAAAGGCATTTGAAAGACTACACAAAGCTGCTGTGGATTACTCTAAAAGATATGGGGGTAAAAAGTTAACAAGATTAACCACAAAACCCCTTTAATCTTCTAATTTTCGTCAGACATGCTGTTGGAGTTTATGAAGATTTAAACTTGCTCTTTTCTCAGTCAATCAAATGCACATTCTAAAATAATTAAATCTAGACTTTTTAATGAGCAAAACCCGCATTATTATTGTTATTATTATTATTATTACAGCATGCCTCTGCTATTGTCAATGACATATATACCTGTAGTAACATAATTCATAATCTGCCTAACGTGCTAAGTTTTAAGTGAGCACTTCATTCTGGTCTCTACTTTTAATTTCCTATGGAATAAGTATAAAAGTCTATTCCAATAGGAACTTGTCGGATTTTTATATGAGAACAAAGGTGACATGTCCGGATTTGAAATCAAGGATCCGGGGAAGGGAAAAAAAAGGGAGGGGGTCATTTATCAAGGGCCCTTATGGCTTGCAGCCATCGTGGGCCCTCCACCAAAATGTAGACCGACGTCACCGCTTCCGCCCTGCACCCCCCTCCCCTTCCCTTCCCTCCCATCCCCTCCCTCCTCCTCCTCCCCCTTTCCCTCTCTCTCCCTCCTCCCTCCCCCGGCGTCGTTGGAGCTGCTCGCCTGCCTGCAATCCAACATGGAGTAGAGAGAGATGGGGCTCTAGCGGGGCCACCCCTCGGTAACAACAGCGACGACGCGCTTTTTACGCACAACTGGAACCGGAGTCGTCGGTGAAAACATGCGCCTTAGGACTTAAAATCGGAGTGTGTGCCCTGTGTGCCCGTGTGTGTGTGCGTGTGTGTGTGCGTGTGTGTGTGTGTGTGTGTTTGGGGAGGGGGGGGGCGAAGAGAAGAGCTGGATTCGGCTCTAAATTGTCTGTATAGGCTACATTACCTACAGAAGGCGATGGTGCTATTAAAGTTATAGAAAAAGGGGCATTTGCGATCCAGGAGAAACTGGGTGGCTCCGGGGGGAAAAGTGAGGAAAAGAAGACGGAGGTACAGCCAGTCGAAGGCAAACCAAAGAGCCGACACTCGCACAAAGGCGCAGGGGGGATTTATGCGGAATTGGAGACAGAATCGGAGGAGCTGCGGTGAAAGAATGACGAGCGAAAAGTATGCAACCGCCGTGGTACAATACCTGAGGTGAAACGAGAAAATGATAGAAGAAACACACCCAAACGAGTAAGTACTGTGCCTTAAAGATTTCCCTATCCGTCTCTCCTTTTTTCGCTTCTGCCAGTGCCTACAAGTTGCATATGACTGGGGCAACTTGGTGGAATGTGCAGCCTAAAACTCTCCGCACGAAGCTGGTTTTCATGAATGTTTTGCTTATTTATTTATTTATTTTATTTACTCGATGGGATTTAATGCTTAATGCTTAATGCTGCTGTGAAGCAATGCATTGACAGTGCTGTGGAAGAGGGTTTCTGAGGGCCCCCACCTTGGTGTAGACGAGTCTTGAGAAGGCGAGAGAGAAAGAAGAGGAGTAGGAGGAGGAGGGGAATAAGCGTGGGTGGATCGGAAACATTTTCTGAAAGGATCTGAAGCGAGGGAGCAGGCCCTGTTGCAGTGTAACTTAGAAACTCAAACACGCCCCGAAGTTACACCTTTTATAAATACACAAACAGCAGCGAGTTCACACACCTCTTGTTTGTGCGTTGTTCAGTGAAAAAGAAAAAGAAAAACCCGACGGCGTTGACAGAGGCAATTTCGCTTCGTTATTTGGCCACATCTGTGTGTTTGCTTCCAACCGAAGGGGGAAGTCTCACAGGATATGAGATATCCGATATGCCTCATCCGCCATCTCTTTCTCAATCGCCCTCATTTGCATAGCCTGCCGCGCTCCATTCATAAAAAATACCGATTGTAAACGACGGCTTGCCCTGAAAAAACATACGGGTCTGTTTCTCTGTGAGCCGAGCCTCATAAACTCGTATCTGCCCGGTTCTGTCTGACAGTCTGACTCGGGAGATCGTGCTGTTGCGTCTTGCGAAATGTAGCTAATATAGCCGTACAATATGTAGGCCCACAGACCTGTTTATATGGCACCGATAGGCCCAAATGGGAGCGCTTGAAGCTTAAAATTAGCTTTGCCGAGAAGGAACTGTAGATTAATCTGAGTTTCATTTAATGCAGGACAGGTGTCAGAGCGATTGTAGTTAAAAACGAACACGAATAGACCACCGGAGCTTTAAACACTAATAGTTTTCCAGTGTAGATATGCAGGCGAGCTTCTGCCAAAATCAATCGCTTTAAGGCTCAAATGAAAATGTGAACAGGCACGCCAGAACTAGCCTATGTAAATTAGGTCTCAGTTTGCCCCCTTTTTTTTTTATAACTTCATTAACTTATATCCACAACTTCTCTGTCAGACTGCACGGGGCTGTGCTCGGTAGGAATGCCTGCCTCGCAGGTCTCTGTCGACGGGGGTGGAAGGGCGAAGGGCACCGGAGGGGATGTTTGCGCTGCGGTGGCGTGACGCCGGCTCATTCATAAAAGCCCTCTAACCTTCAGCGCGTCCCCATTCATGCCTGCTGGACGTACTCGGCTCTACGAAGCCAGCGTACACAGAGTCCGTGTGTCTGTCCCCGGTCCCACGGACAGACACAGGCAAAAAAAAAGGGACCGCAAACTAACCTTCCCACAGTTTGTGATAGCATGAGGGGCACTAGCTGCAACCATGCAGAAGACTGAATGTTACAACTGACCTTAATTCACGCTTTTCTGTCTGGTGCCTTCTGAAACAGTATAAACATTTCCTGTATTCACCACTGCTGGTCGCTGTATCTTTATGGTCCTGTTCTAAGTCACATATTTCTAAATTTATATAATAGAAAAAAAACAACAGTTTTGTGTGAACCATGAATTTTAAATTGTCCTCCATTTCCGGCCGAGAAAGCGTTTCCATGGTGATGACGTGCAGTTATTTTCTGGCAGAGCGACGTGCAAATTGGACCACGCCCAGGACGTGTTCAAAAACTAAAAATAGAACTGAAACTTGTCCATTTTCATTAGCAAGATAAAAGCTTTTTATCCATGATATAGTTTACAAGACTGATGAGAAGAGGTTAATAGCTGTTATTAATGGCTCTATAACTGGATAATCATTCACTAATACTTTTTAGAGCAGCTATATGTGGTGACCCGCCAAACGCATGCAAAGAAGAGAGCTTTTTTAGCTAGCTGATGAATTCATGAATTCATTAGTGAGACCACACTGTGTTTGACCACTCACCTTCAGGAAAGGGACACCATTTATAAACAGTGTATTAACATTTATAACTATAATGTATTATTAATGGGTTATTGATAAGGTTTAATTATTATTAAATTCAAATTAATGTATTTAATAGAATCATCTATCTTTGGCCTGCTGGCTTCTGTCTCATATTACCTAGCTAGGCTAGCTAACAGTTAAAACAATAGGATATTGCTTAGCAAAAGAGTATTTAAAGGCTTATTGAACTGTGTTGTTTTAAAACATTGATATGTCATAATAATTTTGTAATGTTAAAAGAACATTTCACATAACGTTTGAATTTAATTTAGTTGCAGTGGTACACAATGGTCAGGGTAGGTTAGCTTATTGTTATTCACTTTGTACGTTACAGTATTCAACAGCATATAACGTGTTTACTGTCTTATTACTGGAAAGGAAATAATCGGCGTGCAGTAATCTATGAGTTTGTCTGTTGTGGTTTTCTTATCAGTAATATAAACCTGTTATGGGATTAAGGCAGGGTCAGGAAATAAAAGACACACCTTTATACACTTTGTGTCATGTTATAAGGTGCAGCATTGTAGCTTTTCTTCCGATTATGTAGCCTGTGTCAGACGTTAGGTACATAACTACATCTCTTACTTTCCTAATTTATGTCTTTAATTTACCTTTAGTGAACCTTTTTTCTAATGACGCATACTATGGAGACTGAGTCGAATGCCTCACCAGCTCAATGGAACAGTCAGAATTTACAGTCAGTTTACAATAAGTTGGCAATGTGATTACAGACACACGGAGTTCTGTTTGTGAGAATCTTTTTTTTTGACTATATATCCTAAACTAAACCGTAACGTAGCCATCATGTCCTCAGTGCAGAGGATGTGCCTCTCTGCCCTGTCCTTCCGAGGACATTTATTACCTTTTATAGAAGCACACGATCTCTTTCGCACACACACGTACACACACCCTGCAGAGCCAAAGCACGAGCAGAGGATGTATTGATCTGGTGTGTGGTGCTGCAGGGTCAGCATGTGCACAGTCAGTATCGGACAGGAGATGCCCGGTGACATTCAGCTAAGGTCAACGTAGCAACGAAATATAATCCATCCCTGAACAAAAAGCACTCATCAACTGGCACACACAGCAGTGAAGAGTTAGCAGGTCTGCATGTTCCCTCAGCAGGACTGTTCTGTTCCTCACACGTATAATTTTCTACGTTAGCAGCATTTGATAATGAGACTATAATAAACCTGACAGGTGTGGAATTTCAGGACAGTGGAAAAGCTCAAGCTCAGCCTAAACAATGCATAATTGGCAGAATATCTTAAAATAAATTGTAGATACTGTGGAAAAGAGACTTTTAACACTTTGTTAAAGGAGAAATCTTCCCTTAGATACCTCTGACACTTGTATGAAACTAGGTGTATGTTGAAAGTTATTTTGCTTTTGTACCCACTTTCTCTTAACTGGCCATGTCTCTTATTTTGCTTGAGGAATTTCCTACATTTCCCACAAAAGCAATCCAGGACCTGGTTGTGTTGCATTTTATCTGGTAGTTGTACTTGTATGTGAAAAGACTGATTGCAGTAAGAGCAAAACAGGTTTTTTTTCCGACTGTCTCTTCTGTGAGGAAGGACTGCCATTTCCTGTTGTTGTTTTGGTCTGCTGCTGACAGGTTATCTGCTGGCGAACTCTATTTGTGACTAGTTAACTTGTGTTTTATCTGTAGTGTTTGCATACACTGTAAAAGCAAGAGAGTGTGGGAGGAGAGTCTTGGGGAGCTTTACCTCTCTTTTATACCATGTTTTTCAAATAAGTTCAAAAAACAAAATAAAAAAGAGATAAGGAGATAGACACCGTGCTTTGCCAGTAATGATAAAATTTCAGAGACAATAGAGTGGATACATCATGTATAACCACAGATAATTAACATGACATATGGTGCTAATAACAGACATATCACACGCAGGCACACAAACATAAAATGTACGCACACAAACAAAGAGAATATGGACACATGCTTCATGTCCACAAATGAACTTCCTTCACAGACCCTTGGCATTTTTTTCTCTCTTTCTCTCTGTACTCCCCCTACACATAGACACACAGACACACAGACACACACACACACACACACACACACACACACACACACACACACACACACACACACACACACACACACACACACACACACACACACACACACGCATCATGTGGAACAGATCCTTGTTCACAGTGTTTCCTGTGTTTTACAGAGAAGCTCATCACTGGTTGCTATCCGGAGCCTTTATATAATGGCCTGAGCTGTTTATATCTGGAGACCAAACAATGGACCCGGATTGTTTGCCTGTTTTTTTACTAATCTCTGCTCATCAGCTGACTGGATGACCAAGATTATAATAGCTTGAGTTTTCATTCACTTCACTCAGTGTGTTTTTCCCTTGTCACACCAAACATACAACAGTCCACTGGGCTGGTTACCGAAGACTCTAATTCTCTTCAGCTCTTCAGTAAATGAACTGTGTGAACTTTCACTTCTTCACCATCAAGTTCAGCTTTATACTTAGTCTGACAGAGTACTACCTGGACGATTGACTTAAGTCAACATGTACAGTACATTTTGTGCGCATGTAATATATATTGGCTTATGTAGATTGTTGATTCAGTTGATTACCCTTTCTGATATATCTGTAGCTTCTCTAGTTCACGTCAACTCCCACCAATTCCCTTTTTACTCATTGTATTACGTTTAAAGGAAAGTTGATCATTTTATCAGACATATTTGAGAAGTCATCTTGTTCAACTTTGTGAGTGATGACTTGGCTAACAGTATCTGCAAACAGTATCTGAAACTATTTTGTTTTCTGTGGGCTAAAGATATTGTTTATCTGTTTGTGTAACATACAAGTCAGTCTCAGTCCTCCCCTGTCCGGGTTTATGTTTAGTCACTTAGTTTCAG